ACCACTTAAGAAAGTAATTGAAGGTTTTTGAGGGTGAAGATTTTTTTGCTTGTGTTCTCAGTCTCATAAAACCCTAGCTTCATGGTCTGGGAGATGAAGGAAGAAAGAACCGGACATGCGTTTTTTTATTCACTTTTCCAAAATGTGTTCATGTTTTTCTTTTTTCTTTTTTTAAAAAAAAGGGTATGCACCTTTAATTCCCCTGAAAGGCGCCGAGGCGCGCCTCTCTCCAAGCAAAAAGGCGAACCGAGGCGACTTGAAGCGATCGCCTCGCAAACATGGTCACCTCAGGCAGTGGCGAGGCGATGTGGCCCCCTCGCCTCCGTCGCCTTGCCTCGAGGCGTTGCCATTTTAAACTGTGCATGTGTAGTAGTCATATATCGAAGAAAAGATTCAATAATGACGAACAAAATAAAAAATAAAAAAAATAATGCCGTTGGGAAGTCATCAAATCCTGAGGAGTCAATAGTTTCGATTTTTTTCATCGACAATTTACGGGACTAGACACTAGACATACATATTGGTCATGAGATGCATTATGAATTTAATAATTACTATTTTTCGGCGTTAAAATTTAGGCAAAAATTCATTTTAAGTGATGTTGGTTTCACGCCATAGCAACTTTAGTCTCAAGATTCCAACTTTTCGGCTTTTTTGGTCATGTGATTTAATATTTTGTTGAAGATTGAAATTGCTACAAAATTTAAAATTTCAATCCTCAAAGTGCTATAAAATTTTAAATTACATGACTTAAATTGTTAATCGAACAATTGGGAATTTGTTGCAATTTTAGTCTTGGAATTTGGGGATTTGTTGCAATTTTAGTCCTCAAATGACTGAAATTGCTGCAAAATATTAAATTATTGGACCAAAAAGCAAAATATTAAAACTTTGTGACTAAAATAGCTATGAGTTTAATAAACCAACAAGACTAAAAATGCAAATTTTGCCTAAATTAAATACACATCTTATATTTCAAGAAAAAAATAATTGGTTAAATTCGCATTGCAGGCCACCTCACATCGAAAAGCGACGTGTACAGCTTCGGTGTTGTCCTGCTCGAGATGATCACGGGCCGGAGGTCCATGGACAAGAACCGGCCCAATGGGGAACACAACCTCGTCGAGTGGGCCCGGCCCAACTTGGTTGACCGGAGGCGGTTCTACCGCCTGATAGACCCCCGGCTCGAAGGCCACTTCTCGATCAAGGGGGCCCAAAAGGCTGCACAGCTGGCGGCCCGCTGCCTCAACCGGGACTCAAAAGTCAGGCCTTTGATGAGTGAAGTTGTCGAGGCCTTAAAGCCATTGCCGGGCCTGAAGGACATGGCCAGCTCATCGTACTACTTTCAGACAATGCAGGCGGATCGGGCTGCAATAAGCCCAAATGGAAAGAGTGGGCTTCGGGCCCACGTGTCGTTGTCCAGGGATGGGCAGCAGCTGAGGAACCTCTCGATACCTCAGGCCTCGCCGTTTAATCAGCTTGCGCAAAGTTCGCCTAAACCGAACGGTAAACAATAGGGGTTCTCGGATTAATTGCTTCAGCATTTTTAATTTTTAACTTTTTTTTGGTTCTTGTTTACTTTCTCTATTTCCATTCTTTTTCTGTGGCTTGTGATTTGTGCTTTGTAATGGGCAATAGCAAGTCGAAAAAGAAGTGGTGAAAGTGTTCGATTGTGTCGTGTGGGGGCGTTTTCGGGGGTTCGGATTCCGGTTTTCGTCGGAAGAATGTAATTTGAATGGTTTTTTACAATGTAGAAGTGTAATTTTCATGTTCTAGTCCAGTAAGTTAGGATGGTTGCAGTCTTGCAGATTGATTCCAAGTTCTAACCCAAAAAAAAAAGTGGTTTTATTCCTT